TTGGGTTATTGTTTTTGGGGATAAGTGTGATAAAGGAGCCATTAATCTTCTGATCAAAGCACCCAAAGATAAAAAAAGTTATGCATAAAACTCATTACCTCATCCTTTATTTTCGGCCATTAGGCTTTCAAAAAATTAAAGTTAAAACCATCTAGACCAGGTGCTTTATTCCCATTGCAGCTAAAGATAGCTTGTTTGATCTCCTCTTATGAGAATGGCTCTTTTAAGCTTCGAGCGGAACCATCAAACAACATCTTGATTTTCATTTCCCAATCCCTAAGTTCTGCCACATTTCGACCCTCGTATAACTTCTCAAAGTACCTCATCACCTCTTCTTTAATGCCTTGCGGATCCTCAACCACCCTTTCATTGATCTTTAAACAATCAATCATATTCCTTCTCCTCCGTGCAGAAGCTGAAGAATGGAAGAACTTAGTGTTACAGTCCCCCTCGAGATACCACCTTACCCTCGATTTCTGATGCCAAGAACGTTCCTCTTCCCTGTAAGGAGCCCATAATTCATGCTTCATTTTTCTTATCTCTTCTCTGAAGGAGGCATCCACCGATCTCTACTAAAAAAATAAATGCTTTTCTGCTTGATGATGAGCTGAAGAATGAAGTACCAAGCATTTCACTGCAAACTTCAGATAGAAGTGCTATAATTAAAGAAGGCAACTTTGGTTGAGATAACGAATTAACAGTTCCAACTCTTAGAGGTATCAATTTGGAAATACAAAAGGGATAGAAAATTGCAGTTTGTGGACCTGTTGGATCTGGGAAATCATCACTCTTGCTGCCATGCTTGAAGTGATACCAAAAATTTCAGCAACTGTGAGTTACAAAGCTAGTATTTTGATACATTATGAACAACCCAATTTTGCTGCTATCACTGATTTTTTTCCACTTAATTCTTGCAAATAGGTGTATTTATCTGGATCTATAGCCTATGTTTCACAAGCATCTTGGATCCAGAGAGGGACTATTCATGACAACATATTTTATGGAAAGCCAATGGATGAGGAAAGATACAAAAGGGCTATTGAGTCATGTGCTCTGGATAAGGACATTGAAATTTTGACCATGGTGATCTCACAGAAATAAGTCAGAGAGGGATCAACATGAGTGGAGGACAGAAGCAGATAATCCAACTTGCTAGAGCTGTTTATGTGATGCTGATATCTATTTTCTTGATGATCCATTCAGTGCTGTAGATGCTCAAACAGCTGCAGTTCTATTCAATATGGGACAAACACCTCAGTTCCTAATTCAAACATTGAAAACAATTCATAGCTTTTATAGGTTTATCAAGTTATATTCTATGATCGCAGGATTGTGTCATGGCTGCTCTAGGGAAGAAAACTATCGTCCTAGTAACTCATCAAGTGGAGTTTCTTTCTGAAGTTGATAGGATTCTGGTAAAGTCTAAGCTAAAACCATTTTATGTATTTTTATTTTCCCTGTCCATTCTTTACATTTTATGGGAATGATGTGGTTTTTACTTTAGGTCATGGATGGTGGGGAAATTACTCAATTAGGAAGCTATACAAAGCTATTGATGTCAGGAACAGCTTTTGAGGAGCTTGTTAATGCTCACAGAGATGTAATGACAGTACTGGGTCCTTCGAATAATGAAGGCAAAGGACAACCTCACATTGTAGATGCACTTGAATAGAACAGTCAGGGTGGAGGAGTCCAATAAGTATTACCCTACTAATCAGAAGAGTCAAGGTGAGATTTCTATATGGGTCTACCAGGAGTACAACTCACAAAAGAAGAGGAAAAGAGACTGGTGATTTTGGATGGAGACCTTTCCTTGATTATCTCGTAGTATCGAAAGGATATCTTTCTCTATCTTTAGGCATATTAGCTCAGTCTGGTTTTGTGATTTTCCAGGCTACAGCAACTTATTGGCTTGTAGTTTCGATCCAAATTCCTAAAATAAGTAGTGGCTTGTTGATAGGAGTTTACACAGGAATTTCAACACTTAGTGAAGGTTTTGTACATCTGAGGTCTATGTATGCTGCCCATGTGGGATTAAAAGCTTCTAAAGCCTTCTTCTATGGTTTCACCAATACCATTTTTAAAGCTCCCGTGCGTTTCTTTAACTCTACTCCTGTTGGGAGGATTTTGACCCGGGTAAGATGATCCTAATTTGTTTCTTATACTAAGCACATTTGAAACACTTTGTTTCACTTATCAGCTTTATGATACATAACCAATTTCTCAGTGTCCTTTATACATTGCTCTTTCAGGCTTCATCAGATCTGAGCATTTTGGATTTTGGTATACCTTTTTCCATCGGCTTCGTGGCAGCTGGTAGCATTGAACTTCTAGCAGCCATTGGAGTTATTGCCTTTGTTACATGGGAATTTCTTACTGTAGCCATTCTTGCATTTGGAGCGGTAAAATACATTCAGGTGTGTCATTTGTTTTATCATCTCTTTCATTCATTTATTCTTTTACGAACTTTTTGCTGATGGTAATTATTCCTTTTTTCTTAAACAAAAAGGGTATTATATAGCTTCTGCCAGGGGATAGAGAGCTTTCTTAACTGTTTTGGATGGTGCCCTCTCTTTGTCTGCTGCTACGTGTTGCTGGATTTTAGATGCATGCCTCTAGTGACAGAGAGCTTTCCTTGGGCTCCTATGCTCTTGAAAAGGCACTGACCACCCTTAGGAATGACATGAACTTTATGACTTACAAGAGGATGAAACATTCACAGCGTTTATGTTTCTCTCTCTTACTTATCCCCCTGCCTCTTTTTGCTTCAGGGCTGGTTGTGGTCTTTTGCCTGTTTTCTGCTTGTCAACTCTCTTGTACAGGACTTAGGTTTTTGCTGGCTAATTTTTCTACGCCAGTTCCAGAGTAGGATCCTGAGCTGATTTTTGCCAAGTTTCCTCTCCTTTTGTGTACATGGGGTTCCCCTTTTGATATGAATAAACTTCATATTTAACCTTCAAAAAAAAAAAAAAGCTTCTGCCAGGGGACTAATAAGAATTAATGGAACGACAAAGGCTCCTGTTATGAACTATGCAGCTGAGACTTCTGGTGGGGTGGTCACTATAAGAGCTTTTAACATGGTGGACAGGTTCTTTGAAAACTATGTAAAGCTTGTTGACACAGATGCCACACATTTCTTTCATTTTTGCTGTAGCCATGGAATTGCTGATTCTAAGGATAGAGGCACTTCAGAATCTGACCATGTTCACGTCTGTTTTTCTCCTTGTTCTACTGCCTAAAGGCTATGTAGCACCAGGTACCATCTGTTTCTATAGAACAATCGATTTTTCATTCTAAGCGCAGATGTTCTAACGTGTGACTGTTTCTGCCTTAAGTCCTTATCTGCAGGACTTGCAGGGCTTTCTCTTTCTTATGCTTTGTCAATAACGAGCACACAGGTCTTCATGTCACGATGGTATTGCAACTTATCAAACTACATAATTTCAGTTGAACCGATAAAACAGTTTATGAGCATACCAGCAGAGCCTCCGGCAACTACAGAGGACAAAAGACCACCATCTTCATGGCCCTCCAAGGGTAGGATTGAGTTGCAAGAGCTGCCGATGAGTAAAATAATCAAGCTGGTCCTTTAAGTCAATAAATTCAATGCCAAAGGCTTATCACGGGCGGGAAGTTTGCCATTTTCTTTCAGATAATGGAAACAGTGCCTTCTGAATGGTTCCTGCCACTATCATTAATATACTATATACTGATTCTCAAAATCTAGTTGATCCCTTGAAGCTGCTTCTTAGGGTTTTCAATATATGTCTGCCTTCTATTGCTGTGTGATAAACATATAATACTATATTTCCATCATTTTGACATACGCATTATTGGAGATAAGATATCGTCCAAATGCTCCCTTGGTTCTCAAAGGAATCACCTGCACATTGAAGGAAGGGACTAGAGTGGGAGTTGTAGGAAGGACTGGAAGTGGCAAATCTACGCTAATAAGTGCCTTGTTTCGTCTAGTGGAGCCTGCAAGGGGGAACATTCTGATAGATGGACTTGATATATGCTCCATTGGTCTGAAAGATCTGAGAACGAAGCGTAGCATTATCCCTCAAGAGCCAACTCTGTTTAGAGGCAGTGTGCTAACTAACTTAGATCCCCTAGGCCTTTTTACCGATGAAGATATATGGAGGTAAGACTACTGACTCTGGCCACAAAAATAAATAAAGAAATCTGCTAAAAGGTAATTTTCTTTTTGTGTTTTTCTTTTCCTGGTTTTGGTGCACTTGTTATAGAAGATGAATGCTTAAGGTAGTTTTACTTATAGTATCATTACATATTAAAGAATATTAAGTGTATACTTGATATGTTTTTACGTGTAGGCTTTGGAGAAGTGTCAACGTAAGAAAACTATCAGTAGTCTGCCAAATAAGCTAGATTCCTCAGGTGAGTTGAATCCTGCCACTAAATATCTCACTGATGATATGTACACAAGCAAATTGAATCATGAATTATGATGCCTAATCAGGGGGGAAATGTTTCAATATGCATCTTCCATTGAGTAATGCATTAACTTAAAGGAAATTGTAGATGTTACCTGACTTTTGTTGGATGAATCTTGAACAGTCAGTGATCAAGGGAAGAATTGGAGTGTGGGACAGCGACGACTCTTTTGCCATGGAAGAGTCCTGCTTAAGAGAAACAAAATTCTGGTCTTAGATGAAGCTACAGCTTCAATCGACTCTGCATCCATCTCTCCTCAATTTCCTTGCTTAACTGTCTCCAGCCAATGACAGTTTTAGTTTGACCACATTACTACCTTTAGAGGTATTGGCAAGCTTATGAACCCAGTAATTACTTGGCTTTTGATGTTAAAGAAACTTTCTGAAATCATGGGATTGCTTTGATTTGAAGGGAAATTAATGGAGTATGACGTGCCTACAAAACTCATGGGAACAAACTCCTCCTTTTCCAAGCTTGTAGCTGAATACTGGTCAAGTTGCAGAAGGAGTTCCTCCCAAGCCTTGAGTACTTATCTTCTTGTGTCCCATAAAAAGAATCGATTAATCTTAAAGTAGCCCACTGTAGGGCGCACTCAAATTCAATGCGGCATTACTTATCATGGGCTTAAACATTGTAGGTCCAATCTACCCATATGCTTAGCCTGCAATTTAGGGTGCTAACTGCAAAGTATATATTTTAGATGAGAATCAATAGATATGATTAGGTATAATTTTTAAAAAATTTTTTAAAGTATTAAAAAAATAAATAAAATTTTTTATTACATCTAATCAAGTGTTTATACTTTTATTGTGAATCAAATAAGTTTTTATGTGACCATGTCATGTCACGTATCATGTTATCATTCACGTCAATATTATGTAATATAAAAATAAAAAATATTTTTTATTAAAGATAATTTATCATTTATTAATTATAAAAATTTATTTAATTTAAAATAAAATAATACAAGTTGTTGCTAGTTTTCTTCCAACAACAATGTGCTTAATCGCGTCAATCATCCAAGTATATTCTTTATTAGTAAATATATAATTGAAGGAAATGAAAGTCCACAGCATTGTATATGATGCTATGGGCAAACAATACCAATAAAATAAATAAAGTTGTGAATTACAATGAGTCAACTTAATTTAAGATTTCAATTCCCCCATTTCCTTTAAACTTTAATCCTATCAAAATGCCACTTGCACAAGTGTTGGCCTCCTTGTGTTAGAATTATGTCAACTTGCAGCAATTTTTACTTGTTATTCCTCTCACTTCCATAAACCAATTAGAATCACATTGAAAGAGGCATTTAATTATTGATTCTTAATGGTATTATATAGTACTACTATGTAAGAACTTAGTCACTCTCCATTACATATTTTTTGATTAAAGGTTCCATGCCCTTTCAAGGAAAAATGATGAAAACAATGCAACCAAGTTGGTATAGGAAATTACTTGGAGTAACTAGTTCATATGTAGCAAGTTGAACAACCCCGGCTGGTCCCTTTTCATCTCCCTCTCCTTTTCAACGGCATTTGCTTTTTCCTGTCAAAATTTGCAATTATGAAAATGCTACAAGTTCGCCTATTCAAAACTGTTCAAGTAGAATTCTCCTAATTGGTGTAAGTTTTCATGGCCTAGGGGTTAGTTCTGTGATTAATTAATTAGAAAAACAAAACAATATATATATGATCAAAAGAGAGATTGCACCATGTAAGAAAGAGAATAAATCCTCCTCCACCCTCCTCCACTCTTTTCCATCATCCCTCCAGCACCAACTTTCTTCTCCAAGCAAAAGATTTCTCTAGCCAAAACGCACCCCATGAACCCTAATCTTGCTACTTGTTACAATAATCTAAACAAAGAAGAAATCTCCAAGCTTGAGTCCATCATCCAAACCTACCATATGTTTCCTCCATCCTCAAACACATGCACATCTTTGATAACACAACGTATAAACGCTCCCTTAAGCTTCATATGGCCATTTGTACGCGATTTCGAAAACCCTAACAAGTACAAGCACTTCATTAAGAGTTGCACAATGAAAGGAGATGGGGGAGTTGGAAGCATGAGAGATGTCACAGTTATATCAGGCTTGCCGGCGTCGACAAGCACCGAAATACTAGAGGTATTAGACGATGATGACCATGTTTTGGGCTTTAGGGTTGTGGGTGGAGATCATAGGCTGAATAACTACAGGGCAGTGACATCGGTTAATGAGTTTGACCAAGGAGGGAAGGCTTACAGCATGGTTTTGGAGTCTTATACGGTGGATATACCCCAAGGGAACACTGAAGAGGACACTAAGATGTTTGTGGATACTGTTGTGAAGTTGAACTTGCAAAAGCTTGCAGACGTCGCCATGGCAGCTTTACGAGGGCATGAAACAAAGGTTGTTTGAGCCAGCAGCTGTGTCAGTGGAGATGATGATAGTGATGAAATTCGAATAATGCATGTGGTATTATTGATAATGAAAATTTTCTATAAAACAACTATGCTATTGAGAATTTTACTACAGATCTCATCCTTCTTTTCTCTCGTCCCTTCTTTTAATTTATGTCTGTGAATTAGTTTTCATCTATAATCATCAAAAAAACAAAGGAAAAATATGAAAAATTTCTATATATGTGAAATTAATGTGTAGTATTGTACTCCACAGATTGGGCACTATTGTTTTGGGCAACTTGATGATATTTTCATTGCTATAAATGCTCCATGTACTCCAATAGTTGCTGCAGCGGCTGCAATAACTATAACAAAAATTGAGAAAATATTTTCTTTTAATTTGTGACTTTTAATATTTTTTTTAGATGGGTCATAAGTGAAATTAATTAAAGAGAGAGATGCGTACACACACACACGCAGCCATTGCACTACCAATGCTCTTTTTTTGTTTCCTCACTTTGTTTTGCTCATTTCAAATGCTAAGACTTATGGACAGTAGTTAATTGAAGCGATCTGAATTCAAAATTGCTTGTGAAGATCATAAACCATTTTATCTACAAGCTAGGGACGATAACCTTAATGGTTAGGCCGGCTAGCCTACAAAGAGAAAGAGATTGAGCTCTTGAATGCCTTTCAATCTTAATAATAGTTAAGTAGGGTCAGTTAAAGATGGACCCCCTACCTTGATTCACAAACTAAGCAAGACAACGAGGGCACTGTGTCGTCTCACAAATGAGAAGATGACAAACTAGAGTACAAAAGTTAACATGGCCATACTTCATTTTGATGCGGAAAGTGGTGAGTATAGTTGATGTCTAGTGCTATATATAGACTATAGTATAGGGTTTTTGAGGTTTTGATGAATAGCAATGGTAGTTGCTACATTATCCATCTTTTATGATGTCAAAGTTTGAGATTGTCCTCATTTTTTTTTTCATAGATTTCTTTTAAATTTCATGTTTCAGATTCCATATGATACTACCTTCCAAAGATATAAAGGCCACATAGATATTGATTAATCTTTTTTCTTATTTGAGGAAATTTAAGAAAATTAATTTATCTACTAAAGCAATAAAAAATGCTCAAACTTAAAATTTTTCAAAGCGCAAACCCCTTTACTTAATAATTAATAACATTGAGATTAAAAATTGCAACTGAAAGCAATTACAATTGAGTTAATATATTCTTGGGTTTTTACTTGATTTTGTAACGGAGAACAAATTTGTCTTAATCCAAAATTTTAATCAGAATTTGATATTTTATTTAATATTGCATATGAATTTTGATTTACAATCAAACTTAGCTGACTTGTAATACCAATTAAGCTCTAAGAATGTTAATTTCAGACCCCAAAGGTTAAAGGCACAAGGACTTGCAGGCATGGCGCCATCTCCTTTATTAGGGCCGCAAGTCTAACTGTTAGGTCTGAATCAACTAAGTCTTTGCCTTTATTCATATATATATTGTGGTCTTTTTTTATAAATCTTTCTTTCGTAATTATGATACACACAGGTCTAGAGCAATGATGGCCACACTCAAACTGAATACATGTTGGATTTACGGCTCTGTACTGTATCATTCAACTACATATTTCATTTTTACCTTGGACTAATTAATTTGCTAGATATGCATTGAGATATTCATAATTGACATTTACTCTAATTTGACAGGACGTCAAGGTGCTATACACACACACATATATATATATATATATATAATCATAAGAGGTAAAAATTAAAAAAAATAAAAATTTTAAAAATAAAAATTTTAAAAATAAAAATTGTTCGGTTTTTAATTATTAATTAAGAATATATTTCCGTCAAAAATGAAAAAATGTAAACAAACAGCAAGAAATCATGAATCCTGGGAACGATTCCGTCACCATCGGCCATCATTGGAAGAAGAAAATTGGTCCATCTTTGACTATTTTGTAGAAAGGCCGGGGATTATTCCATTGAACAGAATCAGGCTTGCACATTATGGGCCATACCCTATTGGGTGTTACAATTAAATGATTGGGCTTAATATGTACTAATAATAAAACCCAAAATAAATTAAAATTAACACTACTAAAAGCAAATTCAGAATGGCACCATAGCTTGGTATAGTTCTTAACCGATAAACAAAGAATAATCTTGTCTCTGTAACTTTGGTCGCCACTTGGTTTTATGGTTCTCACCCATGGATGGGACAGTAATCATCAATTACTATCTCTTGACAGATTTTGCAATCATATTTTCTTGAAAAATATTTGTTACAGTTATTTCAAACGCATTGTCATCGGAGAAAAAGGCATTATCCACACACAGTATGCAAGTTTTTGTAAAAATGCCAGACCCCCATCTACGACTGCAGAGGCTTCTTTTCTTTTTTGTTTGGAGGATAACAATCATTACTTCACTAACTGAATGTTTAGCCTTTGTCACTGGGCCATCAAATCAGAGCTGCCTTATCATTGAGAAAAAATCAAATTTCAGGGTATAAAATTCCTTTTCAAATTATATTTTAAAATACCAAATTAATATGTTATTTCGATAAACAAAAATGCATTTACTTGACGTTTCTCTACTATCCAAAACAACTGAGGAGGGTCGTATGGCTCCTCAAAATTTTTAAAAATTTTTATTTATTATGTGATATTTTTTAATAATTTTAGAGAATAGTATATTTATGGGATTGTGGTTTTATTTGAAATTTTTAAAATTATTTATTTATTATATATTTTTAATAAACCTTTCAAAATATTTTTTATTTAATAATTAATATAAATAAAAAAACTAAATTAATTTCATAAAATTTACACTTTATTCTAATTTTTAAGTTTCTCCGCACTTTTTTCTCTCTCTTTCTTTACTTTTCTTTTTCTTTTTTTTTGTCCTTTTGTTTGTACTTTACTTTATTCTCTGTAACTAACTATTAAAACGCTTTTTATTTTTTAAAAAAAGATTTAAGAGATTTATGAGCTTGGATAAGGAATGACAACAACACTCATTACTATTGTGTGAAATTAAGAATAAGTAAAATTTTTTTTATCTTCTTCTTTTTATTTATATTATTTAACTATTTATATATTTAATCATTATGTGAAATTTTCTGTATCTTATTTAACCATTTATATTTTATACATTATAGTTTTATATTTAGTATTTTAAGTTTAAATAGAAATAAAAAAGAATATTAGATGTTGAATTAATTTTTTTTTGGTTTAATTAAAGGATGAGTAAATTAAAAACAATTGATAAATTTTTTTTTAAAAAATATAAATCGTTCAAATCATTCTCTTATACTTGAGCCACTAAATCTCAACGTTTCAACTCATGAATAAGAGTAATGTGATTCAAAACATCCAAAGTTAAAGTGAAATTGATACTTTTTATGTAAAACCTGATATTAGATTATGACCAATGATATGAAAATTTCTTATCAATAAAAAAAATAAAATTCATCTGTGTTTATTTCAAAACATAGTCATGTCAACATTCTTAAAAAATATTTAATTATCCTCATCTCCATCATCCTCTTCGTTTTCAACTTTTTTGTATTATTTTTTATTTACATATTGCATATGATTATTATCTATTATGAATTTTTTTATTATTGGTTAAGTTAAACGTATTAATTTTTAAAATTTTTAATCTTTATTTCTCTTCATCTTTCGCCTCCAATAAAATTTTGCTAGCTTCGGCCCTAATCCAAAATTATAGATTACTACATTCTCCAAAGCTCAAAGACATAAAATTGTCGAAATTAACTTGCTAACCTTTGGCATCAGCCAATTTAAGTACAACTTTACTTTCTAATGAGGAACATAAAGGGCATGGGGGAAGGCTTTTTCTTGGCAGCGCCTGCAGTGTTGGGTTTGCAATCTATTGAACGCAGCCGAGCAGTATTGTCACTGTTGTTTTCTATCAATGGAAATCCTGCTGATAAGGTGGAGTAACACATGCTCAAACTCTCTCCATTGCTCCATTCGCATATTTCTGCCTTCATTACCCTCCTGTTTTTGCATATCAAGTCCCAAACAGGGAAATTCTTCCTTGGCATTACGTAGTCTCCATCTGCAAGCTTCAAACTCGGGCAGAAATCACCAACCCATCACCAAGATAAATTATTTGTTTTCTTCCCCTCCATGGACATAGAAGCTTGAACCTTTCAATCACAGTACCCTATCACGTAAGAAACCATATTCAATTAGTGGCATAAATTATGTTGCAGCTAATAATCATACTTTGAGATTGATTACGAGTAGGTAAATTTTTCCTAAAATCATGTGATTCGTCATGATCCACTAAACATAGTTCTTTCTATACTGTAAGATATTGAAACACAAATGCAGGGTGAAAAAGAAAATAAAATCAAAAGATATTAAAATAATGCATTTGATTAGATCCACATCAGAGGCATGTCTACAGTCCTTATTCGTTGGCAAGAAACACATATTTAAAACTTTGATGCATGCATGATTCATTGTTATTTATGATTTTTAAGTTAAAAAAATTTCATACCTTGCACATATTTGGAGGGCAGGGATGAGGACATCCATGAGGAGATTGAGTGAAATCATGATGAGGGTAGATACGTAGCCTGCCTTCTTGATCAACGAAACCGGGGTTGTATTGATCTCTGAAAAGTATTCCCTCAGGCCATGATGTTTCAAGATTGTCTCAATGAAGAACACGTTAGCATCGCTTACAATCTTCAAATCACATCTGAAAATAACATCGTTCCCACCAAAACTTTCAGTATTTTTTAGCTAGAAGGCCAGAAAGGAAAACTATATACAAAGAGCAAAAGATGCATACATACCCTAAAGCATAAGCCGATTTAATGGCCTGGATGATTCGAGGATGTATCGGGGTCCTTTTAAGAACAGCTTTAATGTCCTCAATTTTCGTTCCTTGTGAATGTAGTTCTTTCATCATTCGATCCTATTAGAAAAATAGCCAAAATTATGCTTACTTTACTTCGAGAAAGAAAAGAAAACTAGAGCAAGAAAATGCAAAGTAAGAAAAAGAAAAAAAAACAAGACTAACCATAAGAGGGTTCCAAGGCATAGTGGGAGAGGTTGGTTGAACAAATCTGTAGCACCCAATTCATCCAACACCCAGTTATCACTATCACAATCGATAATCGTTTTATCAAAATCGAAAATCACAATTATATCAGCCATTGGATGATGAATTAATGAAACAAAGTTTTTAGTGGACAAAAAGAAAAGATATTGATCACAAAAGAGGAGGATATTAGCTGGAGTTTAAGCTATGTTTTGGATTATAGAAGAAAGGAAGGTATTTATAGATTGTGAATTTCAAGATGAAGGGTTGTATTTTTCTTCAATATTCTTTAAACAGTCAAACACAAGTGCCTCATATTTGCTATTACGCGGTGCCACGAAAGTTCATAAGCGTGTGTTTTCTTTTGGTGTGATATTGACTCCTCAATATGCTGACAGTTGAGAGTTCAAATGATTTTAAAATTAATAGTCTGATTTTGTTTGCTGTGGTTTTAATTAACCAACTGCTTTTATGACAGAAAAGCAGGAATATGGAGAATATGCCATGCGAAATGCCTCAAAAAAAGGTATAGTGTTCTTATTTCCAGCTTGAAATTAAGTTAGTTTATTTGAACTTATAAGTTACTTTCTGATCCTAAGCCTTATATATGTTTGGATTGAGTTATACAATCAAAGATAATTTAATTTATTTATAATCATAAATAAATAACATTGGCATTTATAGCTCAAATTTAATAAACCTTTCATATCACATATATAATCTTTTAAGATATATATAAATTATGCTTTATCTTATCTTTTAAATCAATCTTTATCATTAGAATAAATCTATATATATAAGTACACATTATATTCATATTCCCAATATATACTTTGAAAGGTGCACGTGGGATTAGAGGGAGTCCAGCCCTCTATGATGGCCTGAATAAAGAAGTAGCGCCGTCAAGGTTTTGAGTCTTGGTCATGGGGCAGGTAATTAAGTTATACATTATTTATTCAATGACCAAAGGATTCCATGGTTGACACTATCTATCGAACATGGTAAAGACCGACGACTCTTGTTGAAAAACGTAATAACCGGGGGAGGCGTTGATTTTTTTTTTTTCTCTGGCACATGGGGACATGCAAAAACTGAGGTGCGGGGCATGTGAAAATAAGTATTATGTTAACCTTATATGGTTTGTTTTACTTTGGTGCCTTCCCTTCTAGACTATTATTGTATATAATCTTCCTTTTTAACTAATCTTAAACTTTGCAAATGACCCATTCATTGATGTGAAATTAAGTAACTTCCTAGTTATAGAAACAGCAATTTTCCATATTGAAATGTTCATCACAATTATCAACTTAAATTTATCTTAATGCATAATTCCTACAATATGAACTAAACTAATGGGCACATATATCTACACTTGGCATGTGTAAGACATTAGACATCTCAAGGGATGGCATATATGATGAGGAAAAGAAAATAATGGATGCATCAATTGAAGCTCAAACCTGAGCCAAACATGTTTTGAGAATGGATTAGGTCATATATAATTCATGAAGCGAAGGGTTGGGAGTAGAGGAAAGAAAGGAGCGGGTTGCTCAGACCAGTGCACCCTGGCCTAACTGCTGTGTGCAAATTCAATGAATTAGCCCAATTTGGACAAAAAGTGTGGGCTCACTTTGGAGGCATACTTTCTAGTCTATTTTATTTTTGCCTTTCTTATTATGTATATAATAATTTAAATTGATGGAATTGTTTAAAAATTATCAAATAAAGATAAAAACTAATGAAAATAAAAGTTATTAATTAAAAAATTTTAATAACAAAATATAATTATTTTTTTAAAACGTCAAAATAAGAATTTGAAAAAAATAAAGAAGAATAAAGGATGTAAAAATCAAAATGGAGAAAAGCAAAAAGAAATAAAAATCAAAGCCATTTTTATCAAATACCTAATGAATACAACAACGGAGTCTTTTTAAGACAATAAGTGATTTTTTTTAATATTCTCTATATGAGGAAAATTTTTCTAGGTGTGTTGAGGATGTTCAGAAAAGTTTTCTAATATTTAAATAAAGAAATTAAAAGAAAAAAGATGAATGAAAAGGAAAAGACACAAGAATAATAGAACATCGAATTAATTCTACAACAGAGCTTTTCAAGAAAATAAATAATTTTTGAATACTCTCGACATGAAAAAAATTTTCGTGTAGAGGTTTCTTTTCCTTTTGGATTGGACGAAAATAATCATTACTTCACTAGCTATGTATATAGCCTTTGTCACTTGGTGCAAGCAAATCCCCTGCCCCTACTTTGTGTCCCATTTAGTGCTCCTTTTATAATTTAATGGCACGTCTTTGATGGATTCTGATATATTAACATCAGCTGCTAAGTAATTTCTGTCGTTAGGTATTACTTCTGCACAATTTACTAATGAAAATAAAATTCCTTTTCAAATTCTATTTTAGAATAATAAATATGTGATTTCTATAAAAAAGATACACTGCTACTCGATTCACTGCATTCTCGAAAGCTGAAAGACATAAAGTTGTCAGAAATTAACTTGCTAAGCCTTGGCATTAGCCATTCTAACAACAACGTTTACTTTCTAATGAGGAACATAAAAGGGCATGGGAGAAGGCTTTTCCATGGGCTGCGCCGCGCGTTGTTTGGGGTTTGCAGTCAACTGAATACAGCTGAGCAGAACTATTGCCACTGTTGTTTCTGTCAATGGAAATCCTGCTGATAAGATGGAGCAACACATGCTCAAACTCATCTCCATTGCTCCATTCGCATACTTCTGCCTTTATTAGCCTCCTGTTTTCGCATATCAAGTCCCAAACAGGGAAATTCTTCCTGGGCATCACGTAGTCTCCATCTCCAAGCTTCAAACTCGGGCAGAAATCACCAACCCCATCACCCAGGTAAATTATTGTTTTCTTCCCCTCCATGGACATAGAAGCTTGAATCCTTTCAATCACAGTACCCTATCACGTAAGAAATCATATTCAATTAGTAGCATTAAATTATGCTGCAGCTAATAATCATACTTTGAGATTGATTACGAGTAGGTAATTTTTTCTTAAAAACATGTGATTTGTCATGATCCACTAAATATAGTTCTTTCTATACTGTAAGATGTTGAAATACAAATGCAGGGTGAAAAAGAAAATAAAGTCAAAAGATATTAAAATAATGCATTTGATTATATTCACAGTAGAGGCATGTCTACAGTCCTTTTTCGTTGGCAAGAAACACATATTTAAAACTTTGATGCATGCATGATTCATTGTTATTTATGATTTTTAAGTTAAAAAAGTTACATACCTTGCACATATTTGGAGGGCAGGGATGATGACATCCATGAGGAGATTGAGTGAAATCATGATGAGGGAAGATACGTAGCCTGCCTTCTTCATCAACGAAACCCGGGTTTCTATTGATCTCTGAAAAGTATTCCCTCAGGCCATGATGTTTCAAGATTGTACTCGATGGAAAGAACACGTTAGCATCGCTTACAACTTCACAATCACATCTGAAAATAAACCATTACCACGAAAACTTTCAGTATTTTCTAGCTAGAGGCCAGAAAGAAAAAATATATAGAAAGAGCAAAAGATGCAAGCATACCCCAAAGCATAAGCCGATTTAATGGCCTGGATGATTCGAGGATGTATCGGGGTCCTTTTAAGAACAGCTTTAATGTCCTCAATTTTCGTTCCTTGTGAATGTAGTTCTTTCATCATTCGATCCTATTAGAAAAATAGCCATAAATGTGCTCTACGTCTTACCTACAAAGAAAGAAAAGAAAAACTAGAGCAAGAAAATGCAAAGTAAGTAAAGAAAAAAAAAAGACTAACCATAAGAGGGTTCCAAGGCATGGTAGGGAGGAGTTTGTTGAACAACTCTGTAGCACCCAATTCATCCAACACCCAGTTATCACTATCACAATCGATAATTGTTTTATCGAAATCAAAAATCACAACTATATCAGCCATTGGATGATGAATTAATGAAACAAAGTTTTTAAGAGACAAAAGAAAAAGATTTTGATCACAAAAGAGGAAGATATTAGCTTGAGGTTTAGGCTATGTTTTGGATTATAGAAGAAAGGGAAGGTATTTATAGATTGTGAATTTAAAGATGAAGGGTTGTGATTTTCTGTCAATTTTCGTTAGACAGTCAAATACAAATGCCTCATATTTGCTATTACGCGGTGCCACGAAAGTTCACAAGCGTGTGTTTTTCTTTTGGTGTGATATTGACTCCTCAATATGCTGACAGTTGAGAGATCAAATGATTTTAAATATTAATAGTTTGATTTTGTTTGCTGTGGTTATTAATTAGCCAACTGCTTTTATGGCAGAAATGCAGGAATATTGAGAATATGCCATGCGAAATACCTTCAAAAAGGATATGCTGTTCTTATGTGTAGCATGACATTCAGTCAACTTAGTTTATTTGAACTAACAAGTTACTTTCTGATCCTAAGCCTTATATATGTTTGGATTTTGAGTTATATATTTTTTTTTTGAAAATTGGATTTTGAGTTATATAATCAAATATAATTTATATTTATTTATAATCATAAATATAAATAACATTTTCATTTGTAGCTTCTAATTTAATATACCTTCAATATCACATACATAATTAATCTTTTAAGATATATATTAATCTATACTTAATTTATTCTTATTCTTTTGAATCAATATTTTATCATTAGAATAAATCCATATATATAAGTACACACTATATTCATATTCCCAATATATACTTTGAAAGGTGCACCTGGGATTAGAGGGCTCTATGATGGCCTGAATAAAGAAGTAGCGTCGTCAAGATATTGAGTCTTGGTCTTGGGGCAGGTAATGGAGTTATACATTATTTATTCAATCACCAAAATATTCCATGGTTGACGCTATTTATCCAATATGGTATGGAGCGACGACTCTTGTTGAAAAGCACGATAGCCGGTGGAGGCGTTGATTTTTATTTTTATTTTTATTTTTGGTTTTTTTGGCACATGGGGACATGCAAAAACTGAGGTGCGGGCCATGTGAAAATAAGTGTTAGGTTAACCTTGTATGATTTGTTTTACTTTGGTGCCTTCCTTTCAAGACTCTTTCTATATATAATCTTCCTTCTTAACTAATCTTAAACTTTGCAAAAGACCCATTCATTGATGTGAAATTAAGTAACTTCCTAGTTATAGAAATAGCAATTTTCCATATTGAAATGTTCATCACAATTATCAAATTAAATTTATCTTAATGCGTAATTCCTACAATATGAACTAAACTAGTGGACACATATATCTACATTTGGCATGTGTAATGCATTAGACATCTCAAGGGATGGTATATATGATGAGGAAAAGAAAATAATGGATGACAAAACTCAAACATAAACTAAACATGTTTTGAACATGGATTAGATCATATATAATTCATAAAACAAAGGGTAATGTTTAAGTCAAAAGATTTCACTACTCCTTGGTTATGGTTCTGCTTTTTAATTTTTTTTCTTTTAAAGGAAATTTTATGAAATATTATTACTAAGAATCAATCATCACATCTTCCATCAACAAAGAGGTATGAGGATGAAGAGTACTAATCCATTAATCTTCGAAAACTTGGAATAAACTTAACCGTACTTCTATTCTTGTATTTAGAAATAAAACAAAAAGAAACACTAACAAAAGCAAGTTGCAAAAGAAGAGATCTAATTCAGAATTTGACCATAGCTTGGTATGGTTCTTAACTGAAAGACAAAAACTAGGAATAATCTTTTCTCTATAACTTTGGTACACTTGGTTTAACGATTGTCACCAATGGATTGGCACAATAATACTTCTTAACAGAACTGTTGAATTTGCTTTGCAAACAATTTTGCAGTCATATTTCCTTTAGAAAAATTATTTACAGTTATTTCAAACATACTTTCACTAGAGAAAAGGCATAAGGCCTGACAATCAAAATCTTTTGAGCAACTCAGCAGTAATTAGATAAGCATGGGCATCGGCCTAACAATTACTCTTCTGAGTAACTGGCAGGGCTTGAGGCAAGGCCTCATGGGTAGATGCTGAAATGGTTTGCAGTTTGCCGTCAACAGAGATCAATTGGACAGAAGTGCCGTTGTTTTCTTCAACAGATATCATGCTAATTATTTGCAGCAAAACAAGTTCGAGCTCTTCGCCATCAGACCATTCATGAATCTCAGCCTTGATGAGCATAGGGTTCCTGCAAATCAAATCCCACACTGGGAAATTCTTCCTTGGCATCATATAATCTGCCTCTCCAAGCCTTAGGCTTGGGCAGTAATCCCCGCTACCATCTCCAAGGTAGATAATTTTTTTCTTCCCCTCTAAAGAAGCTTGAATCCTTTCAATGATCATCCCCTGTTGCACAAAACCCAAACCAAAAATTAAGACTTGTTGACACTTGATATCATATTTCATGATTGTATATTTATATGATTTAAAAAAAAATTGTTGACACATGTCAAGATCATGCGAATGATTTATGTCTTTACATGAACCATTACCTAATAGATAAAGTGGAGTCAAGAAAAGAAGTTGACATGTCTAAAATCAAAATAGATTTTAAAAAAAAATTCCAAGCTAGTGGGATGCAATTGACTGTGCACATGTGGAATACCATCAGCCGACAAAATTTTCTAGAATTTGTAGGCACAGAAGAACCTTCATAAAAATATTCACTTGTATGAAATATCTAGGTATTTCTACAAGATTTGGTGTCTTGATTAGCAAATTCAAGTCCCAAAAAATATAATACCTTGCACATATTTGGGGGGGAGAGGTTGCAGCCATGGGAACACTTGTTAAAATCATGGTAAGGGAAGATCCTCAGCCTCCCTTCTTCATCAACAAAGCCGGGGTTGGTGTTGATCTCAGAGAAATATTC